GCGTTGCAATACTCCTCTACAGACATGACTTAGGCCAATCATTCTACCATGGGTACGATGCGATCGCATATTCGTCCGCTGTTTCGCAGGTCGCCTCGCTTGCAGAAAGAAATACACCTTTACGACAGTACCAAGTATTTGTGATGTGGGATATAGTTTCCGAGGAACAACCGTTGGGCTCCCTCGAGTCATTCACACGCCTACATCGTACCACAGCTGCTTGCGATCAAGAAATGCCATACGGAATATGCAGCATGGCCAGAATTTGGCCCCGGCTTCCCCGTGTGAACCCTAGCAACAGCCATTCTAGGCCATTGAAGCCTGCCTTGGCTGTTGCTGCAGCCTGCAGCAGCTGCTGACCAAAGATGGTGTAAGGGTCTTTTGGGTATGGACCTTGGACCCCAAAATTAGCTTGCCAGGGGGGTTTCTACACCAAGGTCGTCGTTGTCCAATTTCAATAATAGGGGCTCAACCTACATAGAGACTGCAGAACACAACAGGATGGGACATTCAATGCCAAGTTGCCAACACACAAACACCGAGATCATGGTCAGTCATCGAAGTTGTAGCGTGCGCGAAATGAGGCTATAAGAATATCCGTACGAAGTACGGTGACAATCGACTACTTGTTATGGAACGACTTGTTCAACTCCACGTTCTGCTGAACCCCGGGTCGAGACCCTGCATAAATCCCGGCCCCTCCACCGGCCCCTCCACCATCGAACCCATGCTCACCATGCCATGACATCTTGGGCAGGTTTAGCCTTGAGTTCCTTTGCGACACCGCCTTGTGAGGCTTTGCGACCTGTCAAGACGTCGTAGATGCGTTTGCCAAATTGGTTGAAGGCATTCGTCATGCCGCCCATTTTGGTCAACTTCTTCTCGAGCACAGACAGCTGAAACTCGAATGTCTCGCCGTCGACAGTCAGCACGTTGCGATCCAGGTCGATCTCAATGTTGGTTCCTGTCTGCGCCTTCTCGTAAAACAGGGGATCGTCGATGGTGAAGCCCCACAGACCCAAAGACGGCTGGTTTCGGCTGTAAATGAACGCGAATGCCTTTGCAATCACACATTCAACACCGACGCCTACGCGCGATAATGTCTGGTCAGCCCACCATTACGAACGAAGGAACGGAACGAAGGAACGAAGGAACGAAACGAAGGAATGAAGGATGACGGTGATGATCAATGCGGGGAAACATAACAGCCGACGGACAAGCGGCCGTAAGAATCACCGAGAGCGAGGGGGCATATGATGGGCAAAAGGATACGCAAAGGATGAAGGGAATGAGACTCCGACTCACCTAGTAAAGCTTGCACAGCCTCTTGACGACTAGATCCACAGCCAAATGCATCGCCGGCAACAATGACTTTGTGACCTTCCTTAACGAGTTGCCGGAATTCCGGGTTAGTGAACTCGAGGCAATGAGTGCCGAGCTCCTCGTTGTTCTGGGATGTGAGAAGGTACTGCGCCGGTGCGAGCTATTTGCGGGACGGCCCGTTAGAACATTGTTTCTTGTGCGCCTTTTTTGCTTACTTCATGTCGCATCCACGAATCAGGGGCAAAGCAAAGGGAAGGTGGCTTACCGCATCGGTATCAACAAAATCTCCTAGACGGAAGATCTTACTCCTAATAGTCCCGGAGCCGGGCTTAGCCTGGTCGGCGGCCGCGTCCTCACCGGACGGGCTGGGTCCCTGGTCCTCCGCGACGTTCGCATTCTCTTCGGCGTCTTGGCCTGGAGGCTCCACCCATTGCGGTTGGCTGAGGATACCATCGGCAAGGGATCCTTTACCCTTGACGCCGGCCCATCGATCCTCCGGGATGAGGTCAATAAGATCTTGTGGAGAAGTGACAGCCATGTCAAAAGACGACGCAGCCACCGTAGCAGCGGACGCCAAACTGCCGATAGCCCCTGTCATGCCAGTTGTTAGCTCATATTGTCCAACGTTACATTCGTTCTCAGCTGAATTTGGGTCTCGAGAGGGTCTCTTGATTAATATCACAAAACTGCTCGCGGGTCCGCCAACAAATGGGTCACATCTGCGGGCAGTTTTGGCCCAAAAGAGACAGACAGGGAAATAAGAACGATCGTGAGTGTATTCCACGAGACTCACCCTTGCCCATACGGTTCACAAAATTGCGGTTCTGACTGCTGAGCCAGACTTCCCCAGGTTTGGCCATGTCTGCGCCCATACCAACACAGTAGCTGCATCCAGGGATGCCGATGATGAAGCCCGCTCTCTCGTAAATGTCTGCGAGGCCTGTCTTGCGAAGGTAGTCGGCGATTGGGCGGCTCCCGGGGACGACGCGGCGCTCTCCCCGGGCCACCGGCTTCTTCCCCGCGTCCAGGCCAGCCTGCAGCACAAGCGCGCCCATGACAAGATCTTCCTCTGCTGTCGTACAAGCGCCGATGAAAACACCATCGAGGTGAGTACCTGCCACATCGGACACTGGCACAACGTCGTCGGGGCTTGGGTACTTGGCCACGAAGGGCTCGACCAGAGAGACGTCGATAGTATGTGACTCCGCATAGGAGCTTCCTTCATCGGGCTTGAAGTAGTACGATGCAATCCTGTGGTGGGCTGTTTTGCGGGCATCGATAAAGTCCTTGGTGACTTCGTCGGGAGCAAATATCCCTGTGATACCACCGAACTCCTGATTCTGATGTTAGCTAACCCTGAAACTAAGTGCAGAGTGTCAAGGGCTGGAATGCCGTGCCAGCGGGATAAGATTTGAATCGGTGAGGGCAAAAGGGTAAACACAAAGGCAGTTGCTTACGGTAGTCATGTTTGCAATTGCAAAGCGGGCGTCGGAGCTCAACCATCGGCAACCGGGGCCTGTGTACTCGACAACCCGGTCCGCAGCCACCGTATTGCGTTTAAGCTGCTGGAGAATGTAGAGGATGATGTCTTTACCTCCGACTCCACGCTGGGGCTTGCCCACCAGGTGGATCTCGACAACCTCAGGAACTTTGAACCAGATCTCTCCAGTGACGAGAGCCATCGTGACCTCGGTTGCGCCCAGTCCAATCGCAAGACAACCATCGGCCCCAGAGCTACACGTGTGCGAATCCGAGCCAATGATGATTTGGCCTGGTTGGGCCCGCTCACGGTAGAACTCGGTGTGCATGATGGTGTAGTTGTTGCCCTGGAACTGTGTCATCTTGAACTTCTTGCGAGCAAAGTCCATCTCGCCAACCAGTTTCTGAACAAGGGGCGTATCCATCAGCCTCGGATCCACCACATGATCGCCAGCCAGCCAAAAGTTGGAGTTCGAAAAGATACCGGGATCTCCCAGCTTGTTGTAGACTTGAAGCATGCCCTAGTCCAACGTCAGCAAGTCACCTAGTCCTGTGGGGATGTAAAGGCGAGGGTAAAGTGTAAGCATACATGCCAGCTAGCCTCGCTAGCCATGATCCAGTCGACAGAAACTCTGATTGTGTCCCCTGTTCGGACCCATCCTGTGCGAGTCACGTCATGCAGAGCGAATATCTTTTCTGTAACATTCATGGGTCGGCGGCCGGCAGGCCGGCTCACTAGGGGAACGATCGGCCCCCCCCGTCGATCGTTGGAGTTCAGACTCTCGAGCCCTGATGAAGGAATTCAGTTCCAATCAGTTCTCATCCAATAAATGCGGCAAAATTAGGGGTTCACTGAGATAGTTGCGGCACAGCAAAGGAAAGAAAGTATGCTTACATGCGGATGTGAGCAGAATCAGCTCGCTGCGGTCCGTTGCGCTTAATTCCCCGTTCCAGGCCAAGCCCATGCCGCCGTAGTCGGGGGACGCCGTGGCAATGCTGACGACCTGCAGGATCGTAGTTGCCTCTTTCTCCTTGCCATCTCGCTGCAGTCTGGCTGACAGGGCAGAAAGAACAACCAGAGGGTGCTCGGAGCTTTCGGTCTCTGCATCTGACGTTCCTAATCCGGGCTTCAGTTTTGTCTGGCGAGGGACAGGGAATATGGACAATTGCAGACTTACCGTTAGGTGTCCGTTCTTCTTTCAAGTGGAGATCTCGGGTTGCAGCCAGCAGCTGCAGGAGCTGCTCGTTGAAGCTCTGTTCCGCCATGCTTGTATCTGGTCTTTAGCAACGATGGATGCGCAGTCTTCGATTCAATCCTGGAGAAATGCTACTATGATGGTAAAATGATTCAAGAAGTGAATCTGGCTTTGAGCTTGTTTAATAAATACAATATGGTTATCGAGAACTTCAATGTTGAGTTCAAAATATCATAGATTTTTCTTCTTCTTCCTATCATCCACATCGCGCTGGAAATGTCTCGTCAGCTGGAAAAGCGAAGGTCAGATTGGACGCAAAGTCATCTCGTGATCCATCCGTGCGGGTGTCTGTGCAGCGTCCGAACACCTCGTCAATCTCTATGTTTACGACATGTGTATGTGACCTCACTCCCTCACATATTCCAAAGTGTTCTATTCCAGTCTTATCCTAATCAGACACCATTTTGTGACAGACGCTGCATCGTCAGCATGTTTGAAGAGCCATGTGTGCAGGGGACTGAACATATTTTGGCTCCGATGTTGCGGCGGCCGGCCCCGCAAAGCAGTTCCGTCTTCGGACGCCATCCTCTGTTCAGCAAGGTGCTCACCGTGTTCCAAGAGCCAAGCGACTCCGAAGAATCGAAAGACATCACTCGTTCTCTGAGATTATCCGGAGTTCGTGTATTTACCGAGCTAGACGGGTAAGTGAGGAATCCCATGTGCTCGTTTGACAGTTCGGCGCTGTTTGCTTGGCCAAGAGACACAATTTGCACGTCCACTGAGTTATTCGTCAGAACTAGAACGGGTTCACGGTATGCTATGCTCCAAAATACGAGCTTCTCTACATGGGCAGAAAAAGTCAAACATGACTTCGATGTCCGGTCTTTCTGATGACCTGGACGTGTGTGTATGTAACGTCCGTAATACGGTTGAGGCTGACTGAAAAGCACAGGCATCAAAACGACCCGGATTTTGGCACGCATGGGTCACCTTGCAATCCAGAACCACACGAGAAGTGGGTTGAGTTACACGTATAGAATGACCTTGATTTGTGAACGTGTTTGATAACAGGCCTATTCTACACCAGTAAACTTAGATAGCCGCCCAATTTGACGATACTCCTCCGTTTCCCATGCTACTCTAACTCCATACCGGAGTCTTTGGTTTCCGTTTCTGTTAATGTTACTTTCCTAGTTCAACTTCGCGCCGTGACGAAGTAAACGCTCGACCATGGCTTTATTCCCACTTTCCGCCGCTCTGTAGAGAGGCGTGCAACCGTCCGGGTCCAAAAAGTCGACGTCAGCTCCGTGCTCCGCAAGCATGGTCACCATGGGACCTTGATTGTTTTGTGTCGCGTAGTGAATTGGGGCCAGCCCAGCTTTATCCGCGGCGTTGACATCCGAACCGTGGAGGATCAGCGTTTTAGCCACGTTGATGTGGCCGTGTGTTGCCGCAATGTGCAAAGGGCTCCCTTGAGTTGGTCTCGCAAACTTTCCCCATACTGTCAGCAAATTAACGTGCAATGTGATGGAACTTTTGATAGCTGTTGAGATTTCGGGCAGAAAAATGAAATGTGAGAGATTCCAGATGAGCACTTATATAAGAAATACTCTCATCGGTGCTCTCATTGAAGTGGCGATGAGATGAACTGGGATATACAACTCACCCCTAATGTAAGGATATCTTCTGTTGAAAGGTCTGACATGTCTTCGTGTCTGCTGTTTGGTGTCATGAGTGTCATGCTGGCGTCTAATGTCCACGGCTCGATGAATTCGACAGTGTTCAAGCTGTGGGGGATTCCCGCTGAATACGAGCTCGCGTCCAGGTCATCAGTGACGGCATTTTGTTGCAGCGTCCGTGGAGCGGCTTCTCCAGACACTCCCATTTCCGAAGCAGGGAAGATTACTGCTGCCTGCCCAAAGTCTTGGGTCGGCTCATGCGGCGGGGTCTGAAGTGAACCGAACGGATCGGCAAGTGCTGCGGTGTATGTGAGGTCCTGCAGAATCTGATTAGCCCAGAATCTCGTGACAATGGTACCGTAAAGACGCGTAAGCACACTTGCTGTGACCGTTGGGGGTGAAGAAGAAGCGCTTCTTGACCTCCTCGTCGTTGTTGCTGATGTTGCTGTGGATGATGACGCGACATGGCTCGTTGCTGTGGCGGCTGCTGCGGCACTCTTTCCCTTGGCTCCTAGAATAGCTCGGTTTGTTGGTTTCTAAACGTTTCTTCTCCATTGGATGGGTGATAACGGATGGTGTTGTGGCATGTGCTGTGGCATGTGCCGGACTGGGTTGGGCTGGAGTGAAGTGAGGGTGTAGGCAGGGTAAGGTATGTTGGTTTTGAGGTTGCATACGGGACTTTCGCTTTGCCAGTCGGTTTTGTGTTCTCCTCCGCTCGGCCGGGTTGACTGTAAGGGCCATCAACAGAGACCTCATGTCACCCTCGCAGCTCATGGTGTTCATGGTGGCGGGAACTGTAAATAAACTACTCAGAGCACGACCTGCACTCGGTTCGTATGACGAAAAAAAAGACTAAAAAGTACGGAATGCAGTCAAGCGCTGAACTTGCAGGAAGCTGCAGAAGTATTTCTTAACCGCATCAGACACATGAGAGACAGACAGGCCTCATGACGGGCCGCAGCGGGCAGGAATAATATGAATATCGGCAGCACGTCATGGAGTAAAGCCCGTCCTTCCGTGACACTATTCAACAACCTGGGTCTCTCGAAATCCTCCTGCACCTTGAAATTTCGCCAAGCCAGTGTCGGTGCTACCGAGGCTGAGGCGTTTGTATCCACACCGCCGGCGAGTCCCACAAGCTTCCAGGGGAAGGGGAAGGGATTCTCGCATCAAATCCTGGCACCAGCATAGCGACCCCGGTGCCGAGATCCTAGGGAAAATGCAACGGGAGGGCTCCGCGTGGGATGAACTGCGGACATTATTCCCCGCGCTAAACTCCTACTTAACTAAGGTATTTATAAAAGTACTGAAAATACCGAAGGACTATTACTAATATTTAAAACTACTCCTTATTATAAGATCTTACCTGAATAGCTAAAAGTTAAGGGGACGCTACAATAATTATTATATTATTATTTCCTATCTTTAAAGGGCGCTATAAGCTAATAATTAGCGGGATAGAGATAAATATAATAATATTGGGTATTAACTATATTTAAAGTAAGGAGAAGGTAAAAGTACGATATTAATATAGTAGCTCCTCTTTATTTAAAGATACTTTATAGTATATAAAAGATAGCTAACTTAGTTATCTTAACCTACTCGTAATATAATAATAACTCTACCCTTTATTAAGGGGTTATAAGTTTAATTCCCGTACGTTAATAAGAGTAATTATTATACTTTTAATTACTATATAACGTCTAGATTATAAGTAAGTATATATAGGTTAGTTCCTTATATTAATACTTAAAGTTTCCCTACTTATACCTAAATATACCTAATTAGTCCTTAATATAGAGACATGCCTCTTAGAGGGAAGATATAGTATTACGTCCGTTATAATCCTATAGGCGCGTAGCTATATAATATAGAACAAGGGATAATGATACCGGAGTCATTATTATCAAAGCTTTTGCTTTGTGCTATAGTTGGTTGCCTTGACCTGCTCATAATAGCAAGCACATATAAAATTGTATATAAATAGGTTATTACGTAATACTTTTAAGGGTTCTTTTATAAAAAAACATTTTTTCTATAACTTTTTATGAAATTTAAGTGTGATTACGTAATGATTTTCATACTAATAGTATACAATAAACTAGGACTAGTATTTTATTAATATATTAGTATTAAACTAACATAGTATTAGTATACCCTCGTACTAGACTAATTAGTATTAGTACTACCCAAAACTTACTTAAGTATACTTTTTCTCAACCCTGTAGACAACAGACTCGATTTGTGACCGGTCACCAGACTTGCTACGTTCAGAAAATTACATACATGTGAATTGGTGCCTGGATGGTCCGGCAAGTCGGCTGACTGCATGTCGATGAGCAGGGGTGTTCTGCCATCCGAGCCCCTTCGGTCAACGGCTTACTCCCTCATGGCATGTCTCTTTAAAAAAGGTAGCATCCAAGCGTTCAATATGGCACAACTGTTGACCCTCACATATGTAAGCACTTGTCCATAAGAGTTCGTCCGGACCAACATCCGGTTGGTCCAGTGTTTTGACAGCGTTCAATATGGCACAACTGTTGACGCTCACATATGTAAGCACTTGTCCATAAGAGTTCGTCCTGACCAACATCCGGTTGGTACAGTGTTTTGACAGCTTCTCACATAATGCGTTTACGAGGAATCCTGGGAAGAACATCCAATCGCTGATGCAGTCGCGGGGAACCTGGAGGAATTCCCGACGTCCCCGTCGGACGCCAGTCGTAGTCGCCCGCCGTCAGCGCTACCGCAAGTGCAATCATTTGTCAACGCATACAAGTCAACCCAAGCAAGGGGAGGCCATCGCCATACCTAATTCAGCAAATTTATACCCCTCGATTGACTTGAATACTTTGATTAATTTAGATATTTATAGATCTAGCTAATAAGAGGCTATAGATCTATTACCGCCCTATTTATTTCCTTATCGAGTGGTATGTCTAGCTATTAAAATATACCACTATTACTAACCTTATTATAATTATATATTTTAATATAGTTAACGTGGTTTACCAGTCAGCCGCGCATATCAGTCAGCCGCGCATTTCCTTATCGCATACTAAATTGCATATTTACCTAATTTCTTTGAATAATAACTAATTAAAAAGATTTCAGTATCTTTATAATATATTTAAAATATAACTAGTTAACTTAGTTAAATTTAATAGAAAAAGACACTTTAATCTTTTATATTGAAATAAGTAGTGGAATAGAAATATGGGTCGTTGATAGGGATATAATATATTTACTCTAACTATCTCTAAATAGAAATTAATTTTTAAAACTTTTTATTTAGTTTGGTGACTCTTATCAAAGACTAATGAAAAAATTTGAACGTTATATAACCAACATTGAAAAAGATATTAATTATATAATGTAGGCGACTTAGTATACGATAAGGAAATGCGCGGCTGACTGATATGCGCGGCTGACTGGTAAACCACGTTATATAAACTACCCTTATAATACTATTTAACGGCTATACTTTACGAAACTCTTAGAGGTAGTAGAGGTTATTATAATAATTCAAATAATATAAGTATTATTATAATTAGGCGTTGTTGGTAACTATAAGTTTTTTATTATTACAAGCTTTACTATTGTTTTACTGTCACGGTAGCAGGCAGGTTGTTTGGCAGGTGGATGCTGGGCAGGCGGATCAGACAATCTATTGCTACGGGCAGGCTCTATCCTAAGCAGGTACAGGCTCTGTTGACAAGACGTAGCTCAAGGAGCTACGTTTCTGGACATGCGCGACAGAATACAGGATGCAGAGTTTTATCCAGCCTCAGGCTTACGTAACCCGGCCACCGGGTTACTCAACACCAACCTCAAGGTTGGGGTCTAGGACAGCGGGTCTGTGACATTTACTATATATTTATATTTTTTACTTTGAACTAACTATGTCAATTACTACTACTACCTCTATTACGAATATATATATATTAATAGGTGCCCCGCGCCTATACGTCTCTATATAAATCGCGAACGCCCTCCTCGTCGCTATCCCTCTAGCTCTTACTATTAATGACTTATTTTAGATCGTTATAGGCCCTAAGCGGTATATACTTAAAACATAGTTATTAAGAAGGTGCGGCCGCGGTCGATCTAGCTAGATTCGAGACCATGGTGATTGTCTTATCGAAGTTATTTAGGGTGGGGCTAATATCTCTTTTTAGAGTTATTCATAATACGATATGAAGGGGGCCTTACGAGTCTTCGGCGCCGTTACTACCTTTACTACTTAAGAGTACTTATTTCAGTATGTTAATATAAGCTTCTTATTAATATAAATTATATATTAACGAGGCTAAAATAGCTATAATATTTATAGGATCTTGGCTATATTAAATGAAGACTAATAGTAATACCCCTTCCTCGGCAACAGCATCGCTATCTTTTTTATTTAAAAATGTATGCCTTATAAATATAAGTATTCCAAAGGTAAAGATTATAATTATAAGGGATCTCTATGTTACCTTTATCGTCTCTACCGACCTTCCGTTTATCTATTTAAAGAACATTTTCCTTTAACAAATCTTCTGGTATTATAATATAGAGGTTGCCGACGAGGTGCCGTAGGGGCAGATAGTAATTCGGGATTATTTTTACGATCTTTTCTGGTATAGGGAGGCTTTTATAAAGTCGGAACTCTATAGAGCGGCCTTTAAGATATATTTCTTATTTGATTTAAAGTTATTACTCAATATTTACGTCTTTATAATAATAACTAGTTACTTTATTGATATTGATAGTATTATATAATCTCGTCTATTAGTATTTATTTAATATTATAGCAACTATAGAGGCCATACTCTCTCGGATACCCTCGCTATCATTATTAACTAGTATAATATCTAGGACCGGGTTAGAATAACGATCTCCAATAACGCTAGGAATATTGATACTTATATCCGGGCCTTTTACTAAAATAATAGCCCTGAAATAATAAAGACGGATATAATAGCCCGGAGAATACAGTATTATAACTATGTCTTTAATATTACGGCCCGGGCCTTTTTATTTAGTATTAATAAAGAGATATTTAAAGCCGAGTTGGAATATTACCGGCTTATTAACTATTATAATGACGATATTAAGCTCTAGCGGCGTATTAGGCCCGTAGGCCGGCTCCGGAATATTATTAAGTTTATCCGGGCCTCGCTATAATATAACGAACGGTTCCGGAAGGCCGCGGTAAAGTCGATAGAGATTTTAACTTTAATATCTTTTTAAAGTTACGCCGCGAGGCCTAACTTATCCCAAATAATAATACTTAATAAAATAGTATATATCTTATAATTGAAAGGGCGGTAAAAAAGAAGATAGAGATCTAGGCTTTTATACTAGCTATTAATAACTATAATGATATTAGTTAATATATTTTAAAAGATGACCTTCTCTTACTTAATAACTAAAAGATTCTTACCAAGATAGCGATAATATTAAAGCTTTTTTATTACTAAACGAAGCGGTGCGAGGGTTAGAGTATTAGTAATAGGTATAGCTAACTTCAAGAGGTCTTAATAGGTATTAAATACTTGCTCTTATATCTCGTCGACTAGAAGACGTTTTATAACTCTTAAATCTTTATAGTAATTAATAATAATAATAATAATAATCATAATAAGCCCTAGTAGTTATAGGCCTCTTAACGATAGTTAGAACGGGCATGCCGTTATTAGTATAATACCAAAGCCTCTTAAATATATATATATAAAGACTGGGTATCGCTAGCCTTACGATCTACCTTGTAATTTAACTCTCTTAATAAAAAGTAGTAGATCTTCCTCTGTAGTAATATTAAATAAATATAGTAAAAGCTCTTTATATATTATAATAAGTTAAAAGAGTCTCTATTACTTTTTAGTGCGATAATTCTATATTGATTATATAGTATCTTATACTTACGAGATAATTAATATAAGGAATATTAGAATAGACATGTTAAGAAGGCGTAGTCGTCCTTTATAAATTACTTCAATAAGTAATATCGTTAACCTAGCGCCGGCGAGGATCTTCCGGCCGGGCTCTAGGCCGGCATGCTTCTAGTAGACCCCGGGGCTCGGGACCAAGACTATTACTTCCGATAATAAGTTGATAGCCGGTGCCGGTAGACGCCGCCCTAGACGGATAAGCTCGATATTTACCTCCATTAGCCTCCGGAGGCTATATCCGATCCCGTATAATAGTAGATAAACTATATAGAGACCTACCCAGCGCTCTCTTAGCTTACTATCGACGTCTTCGCTATATTAGTAATAGTAGTGGATTACGATAGAGCGTTCAGTACTACTAAGTTAACCCTCATATTGTAGAGGTTCTGGATAGTGCCCTCTATTATAAAAATCCTCTAGCTAATAAAAACCTGACTAAAGAGGGGGGCAATAATACTTTAAAATAACTTCGGGCTATTAGAATCATTGTAAGCCTTATATATAACGTAGTTTTATATAGTAATTGAATTATTATACTTGTAAGTAAGCTAATTAATCAAACCCTCGTGAAAAAAAGTCATTAACAGCAAGTTTGGGGGTTAAATTTGCTTTGATTGCACTTGCGGTAGCGATGCCCGCCGTTATATCTAATCCCGAATGTAACCCCAAAGGAAATTGATAAAACCAACATGCATCGCAGTCCTCGTCCGTTGGAAGTGGACCCGGAGTTGGTTCTTCAGAGTTTAATAAACACTTTTGCAGCCAAGCCTGCACTCAAGCACAAACTCAGGGGCGCCCAATCCTGCCATCACTTCTCAACCTGGAATATTCACGCAAACTGGATATTTCCGCACGTAGTATCACCTTCCAAACAGAGAAGATCGGCAGGACATGGGATCCCGGGGAAGCATCCCGTAGTCGTCTCATTCTAACTTGGTGGCCGTTGGCGAACTACATCCCGTTAGTCGGTCCTGAGTCGCGCCTGAAGCAGAGGTTCATCAAGATTACTTTCCCGGCGCGTCTCCGACTGTTTCGGCGACAGACGACACAAGTCTCTCAAACTTATATTCACAGACGAAATGGAAAAGTTTGACTGCATTGTGGTGGGCGCAGGTAACCCATTCCCGAGCCTCTGGATCTACATGTTTCCAGACATACATTTCATCGAGGTCCAATGGGGTGACAGAATTCCGTAGACTAACATGGCATTGCAGGATGGTACGGCCTGGCCGCCGCAAAGCAGTATCACTGCACGCAACCAGAGTCCCCGCTGGTTGTCTTCGACTCCCAGCCCACCCTCGGCGGCACTTGGGCCGAAGAGCGCTTGTACCCGGGCTTGAAAAGCAATAACATGCTGGGAACTTACGAATATCCTGACTTTGCCATGGACAGTGAGACATTCAACATCAAGCCAGGGCAGCATATCCCAGGCGAGACCATCAGCATCTATCTCAAAGCTTATGCAGACAAGTTTGGCATCACCGACAAGATCCGATCAAGCCACAAGGTCATTGTGGCTGAACATCAAGAAAACAACGAAGGCGGCTGGTTCTTGACAGTCGCAAATGCCAAAGATGAAGAGAAACGGGTGTTCGCTCGGCGCCTGATTGTTGCGACTGGCTTAACATCTGAACCGTGGCTGCCTCATTTCGATGGGCAAGAGTCTTTCGGAGGTCGCATCTTCCATGGCAAGTACTTTCAGCAGAATGCCAATACCTTAAAAACGACAAAGACTGTGACGGTCTTCGGGGGCACGAAGTTCGCATGGGATGCCGTCTACTCATATGCAACTGCTGGTGTGAAGGTGAACTGGGTCATCCGGTGTAAGTCTACTCGAACCTGAGATCTAGATACCAACTGACTCAGCGATAGCAACGGGGCATGGACCTTGCTGGATGGTGCCCCCTTATGTCACACCACTCAAGAAATGGCTAGAAAAGCTTGCCAGTTAGTGTACTTCTCCTTTTGCTTGGATAACTTTGAGCTGACACAAAGCAGACACGAGAATGTTGACTTGGTTCAGCCCATGCGTGTGGGGTGATGCTGACGGCTATATCGGCACGCGTAACTTTCTCCATGGCACTGCCGTTGGAAGAACCATCGTTGATGCCTTTTGGAAAGTGCTTGGCGGCGATGTGATGACGCTCAACGCCTATGACTCTCATCCGGACACGGCAAAGTTGAAGCCTTGGACAGAAGTGATGTTCACAGGCACCAGCTTCAGCATTCTCAACTACGAGACCAATTTCTTTGACTTGGTCAAGGAAGGCAAAGTCAGTGTCCATCTCGGGGAGATCGATCACCTCAGCGCTGGGAAGGTTCATCTTTCTGACGGAACTGAGTTGCCTGCCGAGGTCCTGCTAGCTCACACCGGCTGGAAACACGTCCCACCAATCAAGTTCCTCCCAGAAGGTATCGAGAAGGAGCTCGGTATACCACATGCGCCCATCGAGAATGCACCCCGAGAAGATCTCGCCGGCCAGACCGACCTCGTTGACCTCGCCGACGAGGAGATCTTACAGCGCTATCCAAGGCTCAAGAATCAGCCGGTATGGAACAAGGATTATGTTCCCTCGACCAACCAAAAGGGCATCGACAGCGACGACGTAGTGACCCCTTACCGAACCCTTACGCCCTACATGCTTCACCACTTCATCGTACCGCCATCGGAGCGCTTCTTGCGCACACGCGACACAGCATTTATCGGCATGGTCTGCAACTTCAGCAACGTCATCACGGCTCATGTTCAAGGCCTTTGGATCAGTGCGTACTTCTCGGGCCTTCTTGCCAAAGATCCTGCGGAGGCAGTAGGTGATGACTCGGCGATGCAAAAGTTGCAATACGACACAGTCTTGCTGAACCGTTTTGGCAAATGGCGTTACCCTACAGATTGGGGCTCCAACAAGTGCCCAAGCTTTGTGTTTGACGCTGTTCCTTACCTAGACCTACTGCTGAGGGACCTCGGTCTCGCCCATTACCGGAAGAAGGGATTCATGGCCGAGTGGTACTCGCCTTATGGGCCAGAAGACTACAGTGATGTCAATGAGGAATGGCAGGAGAAGTTCGCGAAGGGCAAGGCCATTGATGCTACATCGACTTAAGATTGATCTTCTGCCATGATCAAATAAAATTCATTTCTTTTCATCATTCAACCAAAGAAACCACGTATGATGAAAGCAAGAGGGAGATTTTTGTATCCTACTATGGAGTTTAAATTATTCACCAACCCCCTGAATCATCATGGTCTTGACCGTTCTAGCTGTGAAAACCATACGCTATCACCACTCCAGCAAGAAGCTTACTTAGTGTCTTCGATGCGGAGAAGGTACTTCTTAGCAGACACCTTTCCAGCTTCGAGATCTTTGAGTGCCTTTTCCAAAGAGCCGAGACCTTCGGGAAGAACCTCATAAGGATGACCAGTGAACCACCTCTCTTCCAGTCCCCGCCCGAAGAAGCGGTAAAATACCGACCCAAATTCCTTGTCTCCCAAAAGAGGACCTGAAGGGTCATTCGAGGCATGGACTGTGCCAACCATAGTGTACAAAACTTCGGCCTTAACATCGTTCGGGAAGTTTTGTAGAAAGACTGAGATCTTGCCACCTGGAGCCAGAGCCTTGGCCACGGTTCGGACTGTCCCCTCTTCGGAGACGCCATCCAGAGCATTGATGATGGACTGTCCCCCAGCTGCACGGCGGATCTGCTCAAGAACGTGATCTTCTCCTTTGCGGTAGTCGATGATGACATCACCTTTCTCCTTGTTGATCAAGGTTTGCACATAGGGACTGCCACTTCCGGCAACGGCGATGATGGGATGGATGTTGGAGAGCGTCGCTAGCTTGATGGCAAAGGCCCCAACAGCCGTGGCACCGCCGTTGACGAGGCGAGGCAAAGCTGTTTTGGCTGGATTCCAGGGAAGCGGCAGATCGAGCTTCTGGTACAAAGCAAGAGCAGCGGTCATGGCAGCTAGTGGGATCGTCGCCGCCTCTGAAACACAACTTGTAAGTAAGTACTCATTCAGCATTGCATATGATTGAAAATGAGAACTCACCCTCGAAACTGGTCTTCTCGGGTATGAGAAAGGTCGACTGAGCCCAAGCAATGGAGTATTCGGCATAACTTCCATGCGGGGTGTTCATTTCGTGGAAAGCCGCAACGTGATCTCCCTTCTTGAAGCCGAGCACGCCTTCGCCAACACTTTCAATAAGACCAGCAATATCATCTCCATGATTCATGGGAGGTAGGTGCGGAATCCAAATCTTGGGGATTTTCCAGTCTTTCGGATTGGTCCCAGAGATGGTGGTTTTGATCAAGACCTGTCCGGGTCCTGGGGTTGGTACCGGAGTATCGTGGATCTCAACCTTGAGGTTGCCGTCAAAGATTGCTTCTTTCATGATTGATGTAAATGTTCGTCTTCTTGTAGCTGTTGGTAGATAGTGAAATGAAATGGCGATATTTCGATATTGGTGTCAAAACACTTGTGATGATTGAACGAAGCCAGGGGCCGATTGCGATGACTTTATGTACATACGAGGTTTCTCGTCCCTGAATTTTCGACGGGATTTCAGTTCAACAATACGCAAGTAACTGATGAGAACATGACAATGCCCGGATGGCCAGATGACAAATTACATCGTGCTCGGAGAGATTCTAGTCAGCATAAGGTTTCCTTAGACTGAAGATTCCATGAGCTTGTGTTCAATCGGAGGAAGCATAATTCTGAAGTTCCATATCCGACGGTCGAACTTTCAGCCTCCAATGGTTCAAACCACTTCGAGTGCTCCAAGTGATGCCGTGCACAGATGTCTCGGTCTTACTAAAGGCACAAAAGGTCCGATAGTGGATAGGAAGCCTCCAAATGCGAGTGTTGGGGTTGGTCCCACTGTAAAGTTGGAGACTTGGAGACTCAGAGAACCCGAGACAGGGACCTCCAGTTTTCTCGAGCTTCTTCTCCTCTCAATACGTGTGGCCATCCAACATTAACGCTCGAATAACACCAATGCTTAGGGCTTGCCCCTTTTTCCATCTTCACGATCGGATTGTTGATCTTTGAGATATCCACTAACGAGAGCGTACAGATCGACCAGATCACCCCGGCTGTCGGCATGAACATATCAATATTAGCATCTCTCCGTTAGCCTCCCTAGTTGTTTTCGGCTGTTAGCCATTCGAATGATTTTTATCTCAATATTGATGAATTTAAGGTGTCTCCTTTTCCGGCATTGCACTTCTTTTGTAACTTCATTAACAGCGTCTCCCCGTGTGTTACAGAGCGGACACGCTTACACAAAGCACGGATACGGGCCGACATGGAGTTTGCCTGACGGTATTGGGCTGCTGCTTACCGCAAACACCTACCTACATTATCGCCAGCATGAAGAGCAAACGCCGGGGAACAGGCCTTCTGCCAGCAAAGTCAGCCAGCAAGCCAGGACCGAAGCCGGGTCTCCGCTCACGGTCCGGGCCGTTAACGGGCATATCCGGCGATGCTCCACCCCGATAGCCGGCCGCTGGCCCGAGCATCCCGGCATTTAGAAATTGCTGGAAAGCTCGAACTTTCTCTCCACACCCTTCCTCAATTGTTCTCCCTTACGTCACAGACACGGCATCCCGCGGTCGTGTGCACGTTGCACGGCAGGAGAACTGACCGCAACGTCGCAATGTGGTACGATGGAATCGCGAGGGTTCTCCTCGATTCTTGAACTTGTAGATAATTCGTCTTATTTATCCTATAAACCATTCACTCAACTTTCCCTTGCTCGTCAATAACTTCCATTTACCTACTACATTCGCAATCCTCTGTCCTAAAGCATTACTGCGGTCCCAATTCTCGGGTAATGTCTCTCGCTCAGCATGTCACCCAGGCCGAAGGCTTCGACTACGAGCGTCCCACAGAACAAGTCGATTCAAATGGCCAAGGCGAGTCCATTTTCGGTACACTCAACCCGTTCAATACAGAGAGTAGCAACGACGATCCGCAATGGAGACGCTTGAGCTTTGCGCCTGTTGAGACCGTACACGCCGAGAAGCCAATCGCAGCTTACAAAGTCTCCAATACCAAACGATGGGGTAAGCGCAGCAGTCTGAACTCTGTACGATCTCCCAACTTCAGAACTGACACACTCGCAGTACAAGTAGCGACTAGCATAGTAGCATGCTGGTTAGCTGCTGGCATCGTCTTTGGATTCGCTGCCCTCAAGCCTGTTCTCATCGCCGAAGGCGTCTACAGCGATCTCTGCGATGCCGATGATCCGGGCACGGTAGACAGCGGCGATTACATTCCTTGCACCGAACAAGACCTCAGGCTAAATTTGTTCTTTATCGCCGCCTCTGTTACGGCCAATGTTTCTTCACTATTGGCTGGCTCTGTTCTCGATCGCTATGGCCGGCGGGTTTGCTGGATCGCCTCCTGTGTATGCCTCACTGTGGGCTGCATCCTCATGGCAGTTTCACGCAACTTCATCTACTTTGACGGATACTTCCTAGGAAACATCATGCTTGCCCTTGGTGGAACTTTTGTCTTTGTGTCCAGCTTCCAGCTCGCCAACGCGTTCCCAAAGTACAGTGGACACATCATCGCACTGGTCACTGGGGCCTTTGACGCGTCCGCTGCTGTCTTCCTCATCTACCGTGCGGCATATGAATCAACAGAAGGCAGACTCTCACTTGAAAAGTTCTTTTACGCCTACATCGCCATTCCAGTCCTGATTATCATAGCCGAATTCGCTTATATGCCGGTTCGGTCTTATCACACAATTCCTCAGCTGGAACAGAAAATTGAGAAAATTCAGGACGAGACGCACGATGTGCATGAGTCCGACGATGAGATTGATGATATTAGGCAGTTGCGCAAAGTACGCAGTGCCCGGGCTGATCGGAGGCTGTCGAAGCTTGACCAGATTGAAGAAGTCGCTGGCGATGCTGAGCAGCGGGAAGAGCGTGTCAAGGTCAATGAAGAGCGTCAAGAGGCCAGTGGGGTCTGGGGAGTTCTCCATGGTGTTCCGGCTCATCAGCAGATCCAGAGTCCATGGTTCATCCTCATCCTGCTTTTGACTATTGTTCAAATGTTGAGGATGAACTACTTCATCGCAACTATTCATGCGCAATACCGATACATGCTGGGCTCCGAGGCCGACGCCAACGACATCAACCGTTTCTTCGACATTGCCTTGCCTGTCGGTGGACTAGTTTCTACCCCGTTCATTGGTGTTCTCCTCAATAATCTCAGCGTACCGGCAACCTTTGGTACCTTGACTGCCCTGATCGTCGCCATTGGCGTCCTCAATTGCTTACCCTTCGTATGGGCGGGATATGCTACGGTTGTCCTCTTCGTCATCTTTCGCCCCTTATACTACTCGGCCATCTCGTAAGTTTAGCCATACTGTCTTCTAACCTACGTTTCGTATATTAATCAAACCACAAGGGACTACGCAACGAAAGTGTTTGGTTTCGCCACCTTCGGACGTATCTACGGCACGATTGTGTGCGTCTCGGGCCTGATAAACTTCGCCCAATCTGGCCTGGATGCTCTTACTCACGGCCCTTTGCACGGTGATCCCACACCTGTGAATATTACGCTTGGGGCGTCGGGTACCGTAATTGGGGCTCTTCTAACGGCATTCGTCGCCGTCAAAGGTCGCACTTTCGTCACGGAAGAGAAGCCTGAGCTGGATGCCTTAGAAGAGGGACAGAGACTACTGTCATCGGCAGGACAGGACTATGGAAGTCTGGAATGAGAGGGTTTTTACAAGATGACCCCTTCTAATGAAAAGCAACTCCGATTCCTGTCTCCTTAGATAAATTAGGCATAAGTACTGCGCTGGCCACCTTGGCTTCTATCAACTCCCTTTGAGCACTTGCCGTCTCAACTCAGGTATCATCAATCATCGTACCTTTCAAATTTGTATTAATTGGGCGCATAGTCTTTAGAGAAAACACTGCCTACTAGTACTTAGACAATTATTTCTCTGGTAAGATCATGACTGAGATTCTTTGAGCATCGGGGCCATCTGATCAACGGGAGTTCTTTTGCAAGAAGTATCCTTTACCAGTCTAGACTTTTACCCTTTGTCTTTGCAAAACAAACTTGTGGGCTAAGAAGTTATGTCACTCATGCGATAGGTTCGGAGTGTTCTATCAATCCGTAGCGATTCTTGGCGACGGATCTGTCTCCCTCGGCCTCCGTTGTCTTGTAAACTCAACCCATAGTTCTCCTTCTTCTATACGTTTTTCGGGAACCTGTTTCCGGATTTGTTCTTACAGCATGCGTTCTAGCCAGATTTATCTATCAAGCTGGGTCTGATTGGGTCGTAGCAGGATACAAAAACTGTGTGCTCGGTTCCGCTACTAGTCGGTACGCGGAACGCGTGGAATCCATACAGCAGTGACGTTGGCCTAGAGCAACTTGCTCCTTCACGAATACGGATACGGGAAGGGCTAAGTATTGTTGAAAGTCAGGTCATCTATAAAATCTTGTAAAATCTTCTCCGAACACACGCATGCTATCCGTCCCTTAATCATCAACTCGTACACAAAGTAGCTTTAAGGCGCAAACAGTCGTCATTTCCACCGTTACACCTGGACACCATTCCTCACATTCGGCAAGTCTACAGTCACCCAACATGAATTATCGTGGCGTTGTATACGATGTTGGCCTTCACTTCACCGCAGACGGCCCGTCTGTGGAGCCGTTCGATCCCAAACTCGTGGCCCACGACCTGAAAGTCATCGCTAGCGACCTCCACGCCAACGCTGTCGGCATCGAAGGCGAATCCATCCAGCGGCTCGCGGACGCCGCACGTATCGCCCACTCACTGGGCCTCGCCGTCTTCTTCAATCCCTGGAAGATGCACGCAACGCACCAGCCGACGAGGTGCGAACGTACCTTGCCGAAGCAGCGCAAGCCGCCGAAGACCTTCGTGAAGAAGGATTGGACATCGTTTTTGTTTCGCAGTGCGAGTATACCATCTTCAACGAGGGTGTATTTCCTGGCAGGAACCTGTGTGTGTGTGTGTTATATTTAACGCCGTGGCGGCAAGGGCGCAGCCGCCCTTGCGGCCGACCTCCCGAAGGGTATATGGCGTGGAGAGCCGTCGCCCTATAACTATTGCTAGATACAGTTCAAATCGTCCTCCAAATCGTGCCTTATGGCTACTATGCGTTCTATCTGTCCCTGGTTCCCGCTGGTGCCCCAGTTCCATTCTTGAATTTTGCGGCTTAAGGCCGGATATGTCTGGAGAGGGCGGCCTGCCGAAACAGGCCCCTCGTACATGTTCTGATTTGTACAAGACCATTCCTGCCCCAGTACTTGGTTGACGACGTGTACTCGCCGCATATCCACTTTTTCTTGGTCGGAGGGTGTGGATATGAGAAAACCCTGGCGAGGGCCCGGAAAGGGTCCTAGGCCCCGCATTGGGCTCTGCCCTACCCTTCCCACAGGTAGTTAAAGCAGTTGCCGGCGGCTGGAATCGAACCAGCGACCTCTGGGCTCCAGAGGCCTTGCCAGGTGTATGCCACTACACCACGCCGGCTGGCAGGAACCTGATGGAGCGGGTCAAGTGGCTGAGCGAGCAAATGAAGGAAACATCCGATGGTCTCAGCATCTCCGATTCACTACGCGAGGCTTGTTCAAAGCTCAACGGCATTCTAAGGTCGTTTTTGGAAGTGATTCGCCCCGTATTTCACGGCCGAGTGACGTATTCAGCAGGAATCTGGGAAGTCGTGGACTGGACACCCTTTGATATTGTTGGCGTCGATCACTATCGTCAGGGTGAGAGCGAGAGCAACTATCTCAAGGGGTTGGAAAGGCATCGTTGCGAGAAGCCGCTTGCTGTCATGGAGTTCGGGTGCTGCGCGTATGAAGGCGCTGCACCACTCGGAGCCGGCGGCTTCATGCCTCTTCAAGGAACCAACCCAGACGATACCGGAAACTTTGCGGGGGGCATAGTACCGAAGTATTCAGAAACGGAGCAGGCTGATTACGTCGAGGCAGTCATCAGGCTGCTCGCCGGGGCGAAGGTGGACGCTATGTTCGTTTATGTCTTCTCGTTCCCTACGTATCGTGCCGGAGAGGGTACGCGGAACTTGGACATGATGTCGTTCTCGTTAGTCAAGACGTGGCCGGAAACGGACGAAAGGTCCAAAGAAATGCCACCGTGGGCACCGAAGGAGGCGTTTGGGAGAGTGGCTACTGCCTACAAGCAGCTTGGTAATTCCTAAATTGTGGAAAGAGTAGATCTAGTGAATCAACAAGAAATTTGATGTTTCCTCACCTCACACCACTAGACACAATGATCCCATATCAGCGAAATTTGACCTCGTGAATACAGTGCCGTACCAAAAGAAACGGTAATCGATTTTTCCCCCACCAAAAATACGCTATTTTCACCAACTTCAACAATAAACCATACACTCAAAAAAATTATAAAATTATGAAAACTTCTAAGCATATAATTAACTTTCGAAATAGTTATTTTTATTTTTCTAAATCTTTTAAAGAGGTCTTGGGCGTATTGTTACGCCCGCCGCAACTTGTCACTGTGGGCGCGTAGCTATATAATGCAGAACAAGGGAAAATAATGCAGAGTCATCATTATTGAAGCTTTTGCTTTGTGCCACAGTTGGTTGCCTTGTCCTGCTCGTAACAGAAAAGTAGTAAGAGATCGGAAATTTCGTTATAGTGGGTTATAGCGTAAGTTACTTATAGTGGATATAATTTCTAGAAAACAGACACTTACTTTCCAATACTTACGTATATACGTGTTACCATCTGCTTGAAAGACTCAACTGGTTGAAAGATAAAGCAAACGGGAGTGGCGAGTGAGATGCGCCGATTCCCCGGTGGCTTGTACGATGCTGAATAATTATGCTTCGGGCCCGACTGGTCTGTTTATGCAGCAGTTGGGGTACTTGGGGTACCCCAATTCTTTGGGGACGGCCCCGATTCCACTAGGGCTGGTGGGGTTAGAGATGCTGCCCGAAGCATCTTTGGAAACCCGCGGATGGGTGATTTCAATCAGCCTTCTTCTAAAAATGGGACACGTACCCTTTTTTTTTTTTTTCTCAGATGGAAGTTCCATGGGATCATTCACTCTCTTCAAAACTGTTGTTCGAGGATCGTCCAAAGGTTTGGACGAGGATTGAGTAAAGCTGGACAGCCTTCCTGTAAACAAGCCGTACGGAAGCAAAACCACTTACACACCCGGCCAGCCAGCCCCTTCGGAGATGTGGCAAAGCACGTGAACTCTGTGCTCGTCATGAAGTTGCAACAATCAGCGAAATGGGTGCGAGTTTCTACTGTTTTCCAAGCTTCATACTATCTACATGTTATGTTCTATGTGTGATTGATGTTGGTTGGTGGTCGCCGCAGCAAGCCATACTAAATGAGACAGTCGCTTTGGTCTCGGTACTTTGGCCCTGATTAAGTCCCTATCATTATGAGTGCACCGACTGCACCTCATTGCGTAGGTAATCATCGTGATGACAAATGGCCTGAAAATGCCCGGGCCTACTTCCATCTTTCCTTACCACACAACTCGACTGACCATTCGTGTGGTGCTGATTTCAGTCCTCCTTTCTCCAGAGTCACGTTTCGTAGGTGCAACATGGCCTCTGACAGTGTTCGTACCAACATGTCAAAAGCTTGCCATGTCTGCCATCGCACCTTTGCTCGAGGCGAGCATTTGAGAAGGCATCTGAGAACCCGTACGTGTCGCACACACAGCTTACTGTGTCATCACCAGGACGTCCACTGACCAGGCCGATCATTTCGCGCCTCAGACACGAAAGAAAAGCCATATGGATGTCATTGTGGACAAGCCTTTGCCAGGCGAGATCTGCTGACCCGCCACGAGCGCCTCTATCACGCTGCGGGTACGGCTAACACTCCACTGGCAAAGTCTCCAATGACTCCAGGCCTGGGCCAAAACTCGGCAGCCCCCAATCCCTGGCCAGTCTACCATGAAGTTACACAAGGCACTAGCCAAATGACATTGAACATGTCGGGGCAATTGGAGAACCAAGGTTCAGCTACTCCGCAAGAGTTGATGCAGCAGTTTTCTTACGGCAACTCCCATGATCTACTGGATCCGCCCAGTCCCATGGAAGCTATGCTTGACATCTCTGAGTTCTTCGACGCTGTTGGTCTTGACTTCCAACACGGGTTCGACCTTTTCCCCTCCACAAGATTCGCTACAGAGGAGCCTGAGGAATCCGCACCTATCCTCGGAACAGCTTCAAGCACGAGTCGATATTACCGACCAACTCCTGAAAGTCAAGACCAGGCGCTGGTCTTGAACGAGTCCCCTTCAATGCGAAACATTATTCCAATCCCAGATGCAGAGACTGGCGAAGGCAAGTTACGATTCTCTGCTTCATTATCCTTATCCCAAAACCTGTCCTGCTAGATGGCGTCACTGCATCCGTCTCCAGTCTTTTTCAGTTGATGGGACGAGTTGCACAGGGTCAGACTTTCTAATCGTCACAGCAACATTTTAGATGACTTCCATGAACTGAAGCCTTTGAGGCAACCGTGGAAAGTCAACGAATCTCAGCGGAGCCAATTCGTTCAACATCTCAAACCATACGCTACGGCGCTAGGATCGTTTAGGCTTCCTTCCAGATTGTCGTTATCAAGATACATCGCTGGCTATGTCGACGGATACAACGACCACCATCCTTTCATGCATATGCCAACATTCTGCATGAAGTACTATCGAGACTCTCCAGAGCTGGTGTTGGCACTCTTGGCTGTTGGTGCTCAACTTCGATATGAGACACGCAACGCTTCTGCACTGTACCGAGCTGGAAGAGCAATAATCTTGCATCGCCTGGAATCCGGGGAGTTGGCAAATCAGCCTGGAGGATTATGCGGAACATCCAGATCATCAAAGCCTGTCGCTTCGACATTGAACGAAGCCAATTCTCCTACTGCCGCCGCACGCCTGGACACTATGAAGGCAATCTTGTTATTGGCAACCTACTCTACCTGGCAAGAGGACCTCTGTCTCGTTCGAGAGTCTCTTGAATATCAAGGCCTCCTCGCGCGGTGTCTGCAAGAGAGTGGACTTGTAAACGACATCTCTCACAACGACGAGGACCTGGACTGGCATTCCTGGGCAAGAGCCGAGTCAGATCGCAGGGCAAAGCTCGCTGCCTTCTGCTTCTTGAACCTTCAAACACTGGTCTTCAACGTTCCGCCGGTCATCTTGGCGAACGAGATTGACCTATGGCTACCAGTAACTTGTGATGAATGGCAGGCGCCTAGCTTCGCCTTGTGGCTTGAGGCTCGCCGCAAGAGCCCATCGCTCGTTCGTTTCCAGGAGGCTTTCGTGAACTTGGTCCAACCTCGCACCGAAGAACGTCCGGTCCCTTCGCCCTTTGGAAACTTTGTGCTGATACACGCAATTTTGCAGCGCTTCATAGTCACAAAACAACTTTCTCTAGACCCTGCATCCCCGGGTTATGCTCCCGAAGATATCGCAAAATTCGAGTTGTCGCTGCACCGATGGCGCGACCAATGGTGCAAGGCTCCCGAGTCTGTTTTAGATGTTAGGCATACCAAGGGATCTCTATCTTGGACAGCAACGTCTATGCTCGGGCTTGCCCACGTGCGCCTACATTTTGCTTCCAGAAGACCGCAAGAGGTTTGTTCCGGTAACCCAAAGACTATTGCAGGAAATGCCTGGGATGCTCGGCCGCCAGAACGTGGGCCTCAGCTCGTCTACGCTCTACTTCATGCAGTCCACGCATTGAATATTCCTGTGCAACTCGGTATCGACTACTTGGCCAGTTGTCAGGCGTTCTTCTGGAGTCTCCAACACTGCTTCTGTTCCTTCGAGGCAGCAGTGTTTCTCAGTAAATGGCTGTATATGCTCGCTGAAACCCAGGATTCGGAATTAGACGGCAAGTTACATGAGTCAACGAGATTGCTCAGGTCGAGGCTAACTCAAATTCAAGCAAATGAACGCCAGATTATAAGGTGGATAGAATGCATCGTCAACGAAGCCTTGGCTTCAGTCGAGGCAATTGACGGATATGACCTAAGTATCATGGAAAACGACACCTCGCACTCTTTAGAGACTCTTGGTAGTTTGGTCATCAAGCTATTCGCCAAGATGTTTGAAAGATGCAACAGCGCCTGGCCAATTATGAGGACGATCGGTCAAAGTCTACACGAATATGCGAGTCTTCTCGATGAATAAGAGAAGTTTATAGGTCTCAACAGAAGTAGGGATCCATTAATTATCTCTGCAAATGATTGATTGATCGATAAGAAAATAATTTGAAGTCTATGTATTGCGTGTCTAGACACTTCAATTACGGGATGCCAGCCCAGGGCTTGGAAAAGCGAATGGTTATTTCTATCGATATATCATAGCCTCAATATACCATCATACAACCCATCATAGAATGATAATTACTGTTACTCCTGTTCACTGTGATGTAGAACCTCGAATCAAAGTCTATTGTGGTCTTGACGGGCGTCAAGCTCGACAGCATGACTTTGAGACCCGGGAAGCTCTGATTGGGGTGACGAATTTGCGGCCATCTCAACTCGACATGGACGAGCGTCCATTTCTCCAAGCTGAATAAGAGAATAGACGGCTTTGTCCTTTACACCCCTTTCCTCAGGAAGAGATAGGCCCATCACAGGCTTTGTTTCCGGACGTTTCCTGGAACGGCGGATGGCCCAATATACCATCAACACCAGAAGCGCAACCCCAGCAACCGCACCAACTACAGCGCCAGCAATTGCCCCTGCTGAGATTGCTTCTGATTTAGGCAAGAAGAAGCTCTTGGCTTCATCCGATGACCATGTCACAGAAGCAGTACCACTAGACTGGTAAGTAGTTGTCTTGAGTTTTGTTATGATTGAGGACTTACATCTCTCGATACCAACTTTCAATTTCTTGATGACTCTCATACTTCTCTGCGGTGGCGTTGTATTCGCTTTTCCAGATCCACTCTTTCATGTCAAATAAACCAAGCCCTTGGGGCCATGGGTCGGGCAGGGCCCACCCTGCCACGTTCTCCTGGGAGGTTTTGGTTGTGTTCCTTCCTCCGACAATAACCATCTGCCGCTTTCCTATCACTCCACAATGGTGCTCGGTTCTGGGAAATCTGCTATCATAGAGCACCTGTTTCCACACAAAGCCAGGTAGGCTCAGCACAAAAACATCGTCATACGGGGTGTCCTTGTACTCAGCCACTCCGCCAAATACAAATCTGCCTTTGTCAACACCTGTCTTTGCTCATGGAACAGACCCTTGTCACTTACATCTCGTAAGAGGATTTGCCCTCAACCCCCACCATGCAGAACCATTGGCGTCTGGTTGGTGCAGGCCCTGTAGCGTTCTGACTAAACCACTTTTTGGAGACTGGGTCCATGAACGTAATCTTTGAAAAGTCCATCCAACCGTACACGCTGTTTCTTCCGTCCTCGAAAGGCTCTAACGTTGACATGAAACCACCTAGAAGGAAAACTAAGCCACTGGTCCCGTAATTGGGGACATAGAGTGCTTTGGCACCTTTCATTGTTCCGAATGGGGGAAAAGCAGCCTTGAACTCTTCTGTTTCGTTAGACCATTGATTCGTTCTCCAGTCGTAATGGACCATGCCCGGTGTAGGTTGCACAGCAGTGTTTGTCTTGCCATCAGTCCTATTCAACCTCGTCCGCAAATCGGCTGAACCCCCGAACCAAAAGCCGCCTTCGGGGGTGCTGGCAAATGCTCCATCTTCACTCCGCTGTAGTTCCTTGAATTCTGTAGGATTAATTGGAGTTTCCTTCGACCATTGACCACCGCCAGCGCCATCAGTCTGAAACCTCCAAAACCCAGTGGATAGTGATTCATCCAACAGTCGTCCGGTGTTGGGTCCATGTCCTCCCCATATGTAGAGTGAGTTCGTATCTTCCCTTTTCCATAATGCTTGTCTATCCATACCATGTGGCTCCTTCGGTATTTCTCGGAGTGTGACGTTGGTGGTGGACCATGACTTGGATAGGTCGATAGAAAGGGTGGAGTTCACTTCAAACACTTTCTGTTAGACAACCATATTCAACGCACATCTTCTTAAAAAAAAGACGTTTATGCTTACTTGCTTGTGATCCACGGGTATTGTTGTTGAGGGTGTAGGGCTTTCCTTCTGCGTCGAGCTGGGAGACCTCACCGCCATCAATGTAAAGGAAATTTCCAAATACCGCCACTTAGTCCAAGTAATCGTTAGTTTCTTTCCCAGTTCTTCATTACAGACAATGGGTATTAAGGCTGTTTACTTGCCATTAGCCAAACCTCGCCGAAGGAAGAGGTCTGGGGCTGGGACATCAGAGATCTCCCAGGCTTTCACTGCCCAACGAAATGGGAACACCAACAACAGCAGGGAACAACTTATGAAATGACAAGAAATCATTGTATGTTTGAGCCTTACTTCAAACTATGGGCGCCAGATGTGACGTTATGAACTTCTCGAAAAGGTAAATCTGGTGTGACTGGATCAGCAAGGCAAGATGGAAGTAAGATGAGAGCTGTCCTGCGCCAGGAAAGAGAAAAGGGCATATTTCAACAAATTGGCATGATCCAATACATATGAGTCGGGCGTCGGGTGGCCCAAGACCTGAATGTACTTCGCTGCTAAACGCCACCACTGCGCTTGAGACAATCCACTTGGTGTTACCATTGAGTCTCGCTAGAACGCCAATAAGATGTTATCCTTAAATTGTTTCCAATTTGGCACCATAATTTGTACATCCAAAGCTGACAGCCTTTCTCAGCTCGGCCGAAGCACAACATCGCTCCACGCGTCCCAGCGGTCGGGGGCTATGCAGCCAAGGGCCCAAGGTTCAAACGCATTCCGAAAGTCTTCGGATCTTTGCCTGCTCTTGGCACTGCTGCCTTGAGCTTGTTATGTTTTACCATTAGTTAAACAATAAGCAGAGGGCTTTTTCTTTCATCGTCGGCCAGTCCTTGGGGAAAGTATAGCGAAAGTCGCCTCGTCAACAACGCTCATATGGCAAGTCTCACCGCCACCTTTTTGCTTACCCATGACATATGATATGTACTCTTCCCAAAGACCAAATAGTTACACTACCTACCTATTTTAGCCCACTAGAAGAATGTTAAGGACTCCTTCGACACTTACCTTAAGATGGGGCAAGCGAAGAAAGGAGCCTTTTTGACAAACCCACTTTCAGAGGAAAGAATGCGACACTGCAAGTTCCCATTGACAACATAAGACTCATCGCCATTCTCACTTCTTTCCAAGCGATACTACGGGAATTTCATATCGGCCATAGAAGTAGCGGCAGCTGTGAATGGTTAGGGCCACGTGTATGGACAAGTGGCAACCACCGCGCCTGTCCAGCTAGGCCATATGGCCAAAACTTTGGTGCTTTACATTTCAGCGAGCTTGTGATATGTCATCCATCTGGACAGTCTCAACAGAGTGACTACGACAAATAGATCAATCAATTCTCGCCGAAGTTGCTGTCGAGACCAAGAGCAAAGCCGATCGACTGATACTTAGTCCCTACTCACTTCAGCGTTGAGGTGAACTAGTCAAGATCGTCAGTTGACCATTGGGAGTTGGCCCCTAGTGGTCCTGTGCGCATTAATAATAGACTTTGCGCCAAACATGGCTCAGACGACGATCAAACCGCAACTGACCGATCTATCCGTTCGGATGACACATGTCATGATCCGAACTCGATGGAGTCTGGGGGAAGTTCAGCCGCAAAACTAGGAGTGATTAGATGACGACCGTGCTATTTCCATTGCCAAGTTTCAGGCATCCAGGGAATGACTTCAGATTTGCTGGTACTCGTCTCAAAGGCAAGTGTCACGATACCGGTGCCGGCGGGATGCCCAATTGACAGGGGACCAATGTCCACAACTACGAAACTCTGTCAGTCGAGGCATCCAACGATTCGAGTATTTAAAGACTCTTTGCGTCGAGACTAAATGGTTCTTGATTCTCCATCAATCTTTCTCTTATCAATCTACAGTGCATGCACATTCGCTTCAACGACCTGGAGTCGCATTTATTTTAAAATCTCTCTTTAATCATCAATCAAGCTTGCACTCGCAAAAATGGTCCGCATCACTCTCTTCGCTACTCTCGCTTGTAAGTATCAGTCGTTCGGGCTGTCGAATTTGAGGTCTTGTTGCTAACCTAGTCGGGACTTAGTTGCGATGACCGCACTCGCAATCACCCCCAATAACGCCGGTGCCAAGAACGTCGGCCAGGGCAACGGAGCTCAATTCATCACCGGAGGCTGTGTCGATGATGCCGATTGCTCCTCCGCATGCTGCGCGGATGCCAGCGGCGTCGGCGTGTGCTCGGCCGAGGCAGCTCAGTTCCAGAATGGCAAGAACGGCTGCAACTTCGTCGACCCCAACAAGGCAGCAACCATTGCTTCTGCCAAGGCTCAGGTTGCAAAGCAGGGCTTCTAATCTGGAATGCAGGGGCCTTGGCATCTAAGAAGGAGAATGCACTTGCAGGAACGCTCAGCCATACCTTGGTCCTTGACTCCTTACATGGTGACTTGGACTATAGCGTCAGCTGGAAGGATACCTGGGTACTGTACTCGATAGGATATAGCACTGCCAATCCTTTTCAAGGGTTGTGAAACCCGATAAACCCCTCCAAAGAGTCTGAAAAATTCCGTGCCACTGTGTGCTCATCGTGCTCATCTGCCCTCCTGTCTACTTGGACCAGTTGAGTTGTTTGCTCCAAGTTTCGTATTTCTCCAGTTCTTCGGACGACACATATAATGTGATTACAGGGACAACTTGTTGTCTTTCGAGCACGATGCTGAACACTTTAATCTGCTGATAGAGATCCCATCATAGCAGATGCATGTGTAAGCATGGGAACCATGGGAACCATGGGAAGCAACACGCTCCCAAGGCGTTGCTTTCTGTCATCTTTACGCGCAGCGGTGGTGAGCCTCGTCCAGTTATGGAACTTCCGAATTGAGCCGTTTAGGAAGCTGCGAGGGTTAAAGTCGTTAAGCGAAGGTTTGTGCCAAGGTCATGTTATGGCTCTCGGTTGGGCGTCTCGCCAGGCATTAGAACATCGCCCAGACATGCGTGGATGTGGAACCTCCTACATAGCAATGGGTCCTTTGCGCAACGGTAGACTGTGCTAACTTATATAGCAATGACGTGACGTGGATATTTCATGGTGAACATGAATGAATGAAGCCACGTCTATTGTGACCCCTCTTACTGCCGCTCGATGGTTGAACGCTCAACAGCCGAGTCTAAACTGGAAGGGGCAGCTGCGATGAGCTTAATGCCTTGGCGACCCAGATAAGCTTAAACGCAATAATCTTCCTGCCCCATGTATCCCTTCGCTCCGACGTAATGTCACCCTGCACAGAAGTTACCATATAATTATGTTTGAACCCGCTGATCACTGTAACCCGGGGGCCGATGCAGATGCCTTTTTCGGTAGCTAGTAGACCGGAGGCTTCTGCGGCCCAGCCCGGAAGCGCGGGTGATCCCCCGCAACTATAGGGTGTGCCTGTCGAGTTGGTTACTCTTGCTTCTCGTCTGATATCCCTGGGCGCAGTATGCATGTTCGTCAATTTCTTATACGAATTTTGGAAAGAGCGCGACGGAAGTTTCTTGGAAGGAACGACCGGTTCTCCTTCCGAAAAGGCATCTACCGTATAAATATTGACCACCCACTCCACCTCGCCTACAGCTTCCTCTTTTTTTTTTTTCTCTTCACCCACGAGCTTTTCCCTCAAGCCGTCTGTCAACTTCGCTTGTTCACTCCTCCATAGCCAAGTTCGTTACAGTTCGTTACCTTCCATCATCAACAGCTTCAAGGTAAACAAGGACCATCATGCGTTTCAGCACCACTCTCGCCGTCGTCGCGGCTTCCTGCGGCCTCGCCGCCGCGGCCCCCGCGACTGGCGATGTCCAGGTCAACCCCGGTCTGCGCCTTGTCAAGACATATGAGGAGGATCCGGGCACCTGGGTCACTGAAGATGAGAAGTACGAGAAGTACACCTCCAAGGGTATTGGCTTCATCGACATCACCGATGTCTCCGTAAGTCATACTAGCACAAGCTCCAAAAGTATTCTCGCAGATGTCATGGAATGAAAGCTAATCAAACATACAGGATGAGGAGGTCTTGAACGCCCTCTCGAACGGTGGCAACCATCTGGCTTCTCGTCAGACTGTTGTCTACCCAACCACTCTCAGCCACGTCACCGAGGCCAACTCTCTCATCACCGGAGTCAGCAACACCAACCCTCAGACTTGGCTTCGCACCTTGACCAAGTAAGTCTTCAAGCCCGTCCCTCTATGAGATGCTAACTGATTTCATCAGCTTCCAAAACCGTCACTACCGCTCTACTTACGGTACCGAGGCCTCCACCTGGCTCTACAACCAGGCTGTCAGCATCGCCTCCGGCTACTCTGCCATCACCGTCTCCCGCTTCACCCACTCCTTCAACCAGCCTTCCATCATTGTCAAGTACCCCGGTACTAGCTCCAACCTCAGTAAGTCAGCAATTGAGCGTCAAATCGTTGCTGAAGGACACCTCCTTCCCTAGGTTGAAATTCATACTAACAACTTATTCCCAGTCATCGCTGGTGCTCACTACGATTCTACCGCTGGATCCACCACTGCCCGCGCTCCTGGTGCTGATGACAATGGTACCGGCACTGTCAATCTGCTTGAGGCCCTCCGCGTTCTTGTCGCTGCTGGATTCCGCCCCCAGAACACCATCGAGTTCCACTTCTATGCTGGCGAAGAGGGTGGTCTCCTTGGCTCCCAGGCTGTCTTTGCCAACTACAAATCTGCGGGCAAGCGTGTCCTCGGTATGCTGAACCAGGACATGACTGGATACTCTCCCGGTGGCAAGGCCACTGTGTATACCGACTACGTTGACACTGCTTTCACTGCCTACGTCCGCCTCGTCACCACTCAGTACACCGGTGCTGCTCCCTCCAGCTCTTCCTGTGGCTATGGCTGCTCTGACCATGCCAGTGCCCGTTCCAACGGTTTCCGTGAGTTACACTTTCGCATTGCTAGAGTGAATTTGTACTAACATTTGTTCAACAGCTGCTGCCTTTGTCAATGAGGAGCCCTTCAGCACCTCCAACCCCAAAATTCACACTTCCAGCGACGTAAGTCAGACCATTAACACTGGATAAGACAATCATCTAATAGTTTTACAGACCTACGATAGCGTTCAGTGGAACGCTATTCTCCGTCACTCGAAGCTCACAGTGGGCTTCCTGGTCGAGGCGTCTTATCTGGCTTAGGATGTCAGAGCCATCTGGTGCATTACGCCCGACCGTCGTCGCCCTTGCCCCAAGGGACTGAGCCCGGGTGAGCATCTTTGAAAGAAGAGTTTGCTCCTCTTCAGACTCTTTCCAACTCCTTCAGAGTACATATTCGATCAGTGAACACTCAACACTGAACAGGGCGTGACTATGCTCATAGTATTAACAGAATCAATTCATCACACAAGCTGAAAGCCTTCCAAATCATCAATCGCAAGTGTCTGCTAAAGTCCCCTTTTTCTGCAATGTCGAGCCCAGTGACTTGTGTCCAATGAATAAACCCTTTGGAGACCCGTTTTCCTTAGCCTAAATAAGCAGGTCGTTGACAAAGCCCCCAAGATGTAAGTTTCGGGGTAGCTTAGAGCCGTGCCACATGCTGACATGCCATCATGCCCTTTTCTCTTCCCAGGTCCGATGCTGATTCCCTTCTCTCATCTTCTGCAAAATAAAGACAGCATCATGCGGTTTCTTCAACCTTTAGCTCTTCTGGCCATTGGTGCACTAGCCACTAGCCAAAGGGTCGATCTCAGCAATTGCCCTCTATTAGGACCAGCCTATCCTCGTCCAAACCTTCATAAGTCACAGGTGATCAAAGACATGCAGGAGTCATTCGCAAAACTCATCGAGGATGCGATTTCGACCGGCGAAACGGACTTGGGCAAGATAAACACCGCTACTGCCTCGTTTTCAATCGGTGTATTCTCTGCGGACTCGGATGAGTTCCTCTACGAGCATCATCATCGGGGGACCGAGCTCGAAGGGACGGTTACCGGCGGCTCATTGAATTTGGATACGCTGTATCGCATCGGTAGCGTCACCAAGCTACTGACTGTGTACACCATTCTCGTCAAGCTGGGTCCTGCGTACTGGAACGAGCCGATCACCAAGTTCATCCCGGAGCTCGCGAACGCGCCGGCAGGAAACCGGGCGCATAGGGTGCAATGGTCTGAGGTGACTCTGGGGGGATTGGCTAGCCACATGAGTGGTATTGCACGCAATAGTATGACCACCCATCTATACTTGTGGCCATCGTTAACTCATTGCCATCAGATCACTTCGTCGACCTATCTGGCATCGATGGTATCGAGGATATGGGACTCCCTCACCTGAACGATTCCGATATCATCAAGTGCGGTTTACCGGAGATGCGACCTTGTACAAGAGAAGGTGAGTGATCTTCAAGTTTCTCTTTGATACGGTACTGAACGGTACTGACTGAATTAACTATCTGCAGAAGTACTCAATTCCTTGCTGGAACAGTATCCCGCTACAGCAACCTGGCACACCCCAGTGTACAGCAATGAAGCCTTCCAGCTCATAGGGTGGATGTTTGAGAACATCACAGGCGGCCCCGTAGGAGATGCCTTCGAGGCCGGTATTGCAAAGCCCCTAGGCTTGTCTCGAACTTTTTGGGATCCGCCCAAAGACGACCCAAATGCCAATGTTGTTGATCTCGATTCGTCGACGACGAAGTCGTTGATAGGCTACCCATTTGGAGAGGGATTAGCCACGTACACCCCGTGAGTAAATTGACAAGTACCCTACGAATACCCTCTTCACCTCTCAATCGGGGCTGACTTATGCCTCAAGCACCGGCGGCGTCTACTCTTCTATGGGTGACCTCTCCACCATCGGCCGCTCCATCCTCGCCTCATCTCTCCTACCAAACTCAGTGACTCGTGAATGGCTCCGACCGGTGACGCATACCCAGCACACACACAGTGCCGTCGGAAGACCATGGGAAATCACCCGTATGGACGTCGCCGCCAGCCCCGGCTCCAAACGCACCCGTCTCGTGGACCTGTACACCAAGAACGGCGGCATCGGTGCCTACCTGACTTACCTCATCCTCTCGCCCGACCACAACATCGGCTTCACTCTCATGACGGCCTCGAAGACTGCCTACGGAGACGGCATTCCCGACTCTACTTTTGACGTCCTCAGCGAGTTGCTCCTGGAGAAGTGGATCCCCGCCGCCGAGGCCGCGGGCCGGGAGGCGGTGGGTGAGGACCTTGTTGGCACCTATGTAGCCGATGACGGATCGGACTCTCGGGCCGAGTTGTCGCTGGTTTCCGACAGACTCGGTCTGACGCTCCAAGAACTTGTGCTCAACGGCACGGACTTCTTTTCGAAGGTGGGCGGGAAACTTGGTTTCCAGGGTGCCAATCTACAATTCATAGGGCTCCAAGACGAAGGAGAGATGGCATTCCGAGCCGTCTTCTCGAGTCCTGATGCAGCGCCTTCGGGTCGGGAACCCATACTGGGGAAGAAGTGCGGGTCAACTTGGGGAGGCGCTGGGTCGCTTACGTACGGCAACATCGCCATAGATGAGGTTGTTTTCACTGTGGGTGAAGACGGGAAGTCAACCAGTGTAATCTTCCCCGCGCTGCGCGTGAAGTTCACCAAGAGATTGAGCAAGACATCGGCGGGAGTAACAGAGGGTGGAATCTTTGAAGAATTATGATTTAGTCAATATTCTTAGGGGTATTACTAAAGTCCAGACACCTGATGGTTCTATTTACATACAGCTCATATCACAGAGCTCTCAGCCACTCCCATTCATAGACCTCATCAAATCTCGTCAGCCTCTATTCAAGCTCTACTCCTCCACGCTTCCAACGCAACATCGCGCCAAATGACAAAACGGATCCCAAAGAAACAGCCACTCTATGCGCGGTACTGGTTCCAGAAGCTGTACATGCGAGTCTGCTGGTTGGGAGTGAACTCCTCGTAGCAAGAGTCGTAAGAGTAGTCCATGTAGTTGTGGATTGGGTCAAGACCAGCCTGGCTAGGGCAGGAGTCACGACCGGTAGGGCAGCCGGTGGAGAAGCTGGCCTGGGCGGGGGTGTCGGCGATAGAGTCGCCGGCGCCGGTGCAGCCGCCCTGGAAGGTGTGGTAGAGACCGAACCAGTGCCCGACCTCGTGGGTGACGGTCTTGCCGAGGTTGTAGTTCGTCTCGCTGCCGCCGGGGACGGTGGAGGAGAGAATGGTGCAACCGTCACGGATGTAGGCGGTTGAGCCAGCGGCGGCAGTGGTGGGAAAGTAGCAGTACCCGAAGTCGCCGCCGAGGGTGCGGACGAAGTAGAGGTTGAGGTCCTTGTAGGTTCCCTTGCGGAGGGCACGCTTCATGGCCATCTCGTCACCATCCTGGGCCCAGGCGGAGTTGATGGTGCGGGTGGTCTCAACCAGGGTGTAGCTGATGCCGTGGGGGGCAAAGTCACTGTTCATGACGGCCAGCTGGTCAGACAGCATCTTGTCCTATTCAGGCTATTAGAGATCGGCGGTACAAATTCACGGTATCCCGGTGTCACTTACAGTGATGTAGCCATTGGCCACGGTCTGGGAGGAGGCAACAACGTGGAAGTAGACGTTGACGTTGATGGTGGCCGCCGCCATCAGGCTCACGGTGCCATTGTTGGCAGCCTCCTCCTCGGCAAGCTTCTTGGAGATCTCAATGTGCTCAGGGGTAGGATCATGAGTACCGCAGCCGAGACGGGCGGGGGTGACAGCGGCGGAGGCGGCAGCGGCAAGAGCCGCAACGACAGAAAGCTTGAACTGCATGATGAAGAGCTAGACCGATTGGATCGAGGCTTGGACAAGGAGACCGGGACTTGATAGAGGTGAGAGGGACAGGGAGGAAGGGAGAGAAAGGACCTTGATGGTAGAGTAGCAACACATATATACTCGAGGGCTTCCCCTTGGGTGTATCTCGATGTTTCTGGTTCCTATGATACATAGTGATGGGTCAGGGAGTCAGTCGGGAGCTAAGATGTTTGCGACCTTCCGGATCAGTTCAAGGCCAACTTTGGCACTGTCAGTCAAGGTAAGCATGGAGAAGAACACAAGTTCTGAGATCGAGAAAACTGGATGCGCGGGAATGAAGGTCATGGGGTAAGCTAGAATGCCTTCCTCATTGAGGATGAACTGAGGGTTTCAATATGGGCAACGGGCCATCCACCAGGGCCGGGCACGGTGTGGGCATCGGATTTGAACCACCCGGGGAAGGACTTGTAGTTCTGATTCGTGGACTCTGAAATACGACGATCTTGGCATGCCAAAGTCCATATTGAGCTGAGCTGAGAAGTTGAGGCGATGCTTGATGCTTCCTCGTGCCCTGGTTGGGTAACATCAGCTGCAAGAGTTGCATGAGTCGGAAGAGACCGAGAAGCGCTGGGAAATGGATGGGCACCCGCACAAGTTACAACAACCACAACGCCGATAAGAGATCCGATGATCTCGTTACGTCGACAGTCGAGCGAGACCGGTCGGTCCTTGATACCCCTCGGAGATGATTCTGAGAGGACGAGTAAGCTTTGAAAGCCGGCGCTAGCGGGGTGCGGTGGTATCGCGACATTAAACGCTCCGTTTAACGTGCATGCCAAGCTCTCGCCAAGACGGCCAATCATCCAACCAGGGCAGTACCGTTCAACCTCCCTATTTGGGCTTAATCAAGTTATTGATCGCGTCTATTGTGTAGGAGTTGACTCAAGTTAAGACACTCTTGCTCAACAAAGTACTCTTTGGTGTTTGTCGTGGCGAGTGGCTAAGTGTCGACCAAGAGAAGTTGTCTTGGGCCTCCTTGGGCAAATGGGGCTCTTGGCTGGCATCCATCACGACGGCTTGCCTTGCATACAGCAACGCCCAAGATATGTGAAGTCAGAGCAACCTTCTGTTTTCGTCGAGGGACTTTTGAGAAGAAACGGGGCATCGGTGTAGGGTTGCACAGAGTCTTGGCTTTGCCAAGTCAATGCACTATTGACAAGCATGGCCAGGACGGGCAACTGAAATAGTAGAGAATTAATTGATCGGCAGCGCTTCGCCCACCAGTGGCACCAGCTCCGTGCCAGCAACCCAGCGCGATGGCCTCGCCGTCCCCGAGCTTTCGAGAGACAATGACGGAGGAGTCCGCCGCGTATGCCAGAGCTTCGAGTGTTCGATACGAGGGACCGATCACACGAGTTGTATAAGGTAGGTATCTTGAGTCGCTGAAAGCCGAGTGGCTATGTATCAGGTCGTTACTCATCGATTCGAAATCTTGGACGCCCATCTAGAGACTCAGTTGTGGCATAAAGTCCACTTGGACTACGAGCAAGCACCTTAGGCGCTACGCAGGTTCAAAAAGACATCGAGAGGTTGCTTCAAGCGCATTGCCCTTGAGCAGGTTTGACTTTGCGTATTCGTCTGCCACTCGCACAAGGTCGGGCGGAACTATAGAACCTCCCAGGCATCGCAAGGAGGTGGATGGCGGCAAACGTATCCCAAGCAGCGAAAATGTCTCGAGAATAGAGTGATTGGACAGTATAAGTTAGTATCATGGAAGTAGCCGCGATCGTGGAGAGGGAAGACTGGACGAAAAGCAGGAACAGCCCAGCCCGGGCCCGGGGCAGAAACCCCTCGGAGTAAGCTTAATTCTCGGCCCGGGTCTTCTCACCGAAGATACCTTAGGTACCTACGGCGGGGATACCGGTACTGCATCGAGGTGAGGACTCGGCAGAACAGGTGTGTCTCGGTGACGCCCAGCCACAGAGGGCACAGGCCACCCCCAGGGGACCCCTCAACCACGTGAGTGCGAGTTGTGGCGCCGGGAATTTCGCGTCGCTGCCTGTTGGAGAGGCGCGCCGCGCGACGGCACTTAAACCCCAACGCCAACGGCGGGCACCCTCCACTGGATTCCTCCCCTCCAATCCAGGAGACATTGGAACACAATACCACAGTGAACTATCTGCCGATCGAAAAGTCTCACCACCGCACATTTTGGGTCTGGGACTGACCCATTGGTCCGCTCCATATCATGCCCAACTTTACAGGTAATTCATCTTCTCCCTCCGGATCAACTACCATCAGACAGCTCTAACCCACTGTTCAGAGGCGGACACTATCCGCATTCTGGTTGCGACAGACAACCATGTCGGCTACGAGGAGCGTGACCCGATTCGCAAAGACGACAGCTGGAAAACGTTCGACGAGATTCTGAACCTCGCCAAGAGCCAAGATGTACGCAGATGCATCGTCTCAAGATGCTCCGCCGGCTGACATGGAGCATAGGTCGACATGGTGCTATTGGGCGGCGACCTCTTCCACGACAACAAGCCATCCCGAAAGTCCATGTACCAGGTCATGCGCAGTCTTCGAAAGAACTGTTTGGGCATGAAGCCCTGCGAGCTCGAGTTCCTAAGCGATGCGAACGAAGTCTTTGAGGGTGCATTCCCTCATGTCAACTACGAAGACCCTGATATCAACATCTCCATACCCGTTTTTTCGATTCACGGAAATCACGACGATCCCAGTGGCGAGGGCCACTTCTGTTCTCTGGACTTGCTCCAAGTTGCTGGGCTGGTCAACTACTTTGGACGCATAGCCGAGGCCGACAACATTGAGGCAAAGCCGGTACTTCTACAAAAGGGTCAAACAAAACTTGCGCTGTTTGGGCTGAGCAATGTTCGCGATGAGCGCATGTTCCGAACATTCAGGGATCACAAGGTCAAATGGTTCCGCCCGGGTGTCCAGCAGTCAGACTGGTTCAACTTGCTCACCGTGCATCAAAACCACCACGCACATACCGCAACATCATATCTCCCCGAGAATGTGCTGCCCGACTGGATGGATCTTGTTGTGTGGGGTCATGAGCACGAGTGTTTGATTGACCCTCAGCAGAATCCAGAAACCGGCTTCCACGTCATGCAGCCCGGCTCCTCGGTGGCGACATCTCTGGTTCCGGGCGAGGCGGTACCAAAGCATGTGGCGATTCTCAGCCTCACTGGCAGAGACTTCAAGGTTGAGAAGCTACCGTTGAAGACCGTACGCCCATTCATCACGAAGGAGATCCAATTGTCGACCGATGCGCGGTTTAAGGGCCTGCACACGAAGAAAGAAAACAGACAGGAGTTAACCAAGAGACTGATGGTGGTCGTTGACGAGATGATTCAGGAGGCGAATGAGGAGTGGTTCGCTGTCCAGGAGAACGACCAGGAGGAACCTCCACTGCCCTTGATCCGGCTCAAAGTAGAGTACACGGCGCCGGAGGGTGGTCAGTACGACTGCGAGAACCCCCAGCGGTTTTCGAATAGATTCATCGGCAAGGTGGCAAACACCAACGATGTCGTCTACTTCCACCGGAAGAAGGCCGGTGCCACCAGTAAGTGCTTCCATTTCCCACAATCTTACTCACTAGTACTCATACTTTGCAGGACGAAACGCCGACACAGACATTCCCGAGGCCCTCGAGGAAACATTAGGTCTGGACACTATCAAAGTGGAGGCCCTTGTACAGGAGTTCCTCGCAGCCCAGTCTCTGAAGATTCTGCCAACAGCACCCTTCGGCGATGCCGTCAACCAATTCGTCAACAAGGATGACAAGCACGCGATGGAGGAGTTTGTCAGTGAGTCGTTGGCTGGTCAGGTGAAGCAGATGCTCAACCTCGACTCCGATGAAGACGACCTCGACGTTGCGATGGAAGCGTATCG